AGAGAGAGAGAGAGAGGGGAGTTTCTTAAAAATTTCAACTCTCGACCAATTGAAGGAAAGTGACCCAAGTGCGGCTATATTGAATATTGAATCTTCAAAATTCACGTTGAACGTGTCGTGTGATGTGTGTAATTGTATGCATGAGTATATTGGATGTATATTCGAATGTCATATTTATATTGAAATTTAGCATGTATAATTGTTCGTTTTAGCATACGTGCGCTAATTCGAATTCGACGCGGGCCAGACATTTGCCACCGAAAAGAAATATATCTGTAGGAATGTAAATAATAAATAGCCTATGTCTATATTGAATCTATATAACTCAGCGACTGAGTAACGTTTTGTAAACTGTGTGATAAGCGATTAAACAAAGATTGATACATTGTTGTAAATAATAAAATAGATTGTACATTGTATATCTGTTTAATTTCTTCTTTTACCTAATTTCATAATAAACATCATAGAGTTGTCAGAGTGGGGCATACGCGTTCCACTTGAAGAGTTCCACTTGACGATCGGTCTGTTCGGGCACACCGACTGTGCTGCGGCTCATTGAGTACGTTGCTATTGTTTTCTTCTCAAATATTGCACATTATTGGTTAATCATTCTAAAATCATGTACGATGGAAACGTAGTCATTGCTGCTTCATGCACAACACTGCACGTCACTCGTGGTACGATGAATATCTCGGTGAGTAAGATCACAATCAGTCAGGCCTCAGTAGCGCAATAAAGAAGCCAAAGTATAATAGCACCGGAACTTCCTTCCTTTCCTTGATGATTTTATCCTCAAGGGGACATGTGCCAGTAATTAGTCTAATTGATTCAGAGAATTAAGAAGTTTTAATTTGTCTTTGTTTGTTTAATTTAATTTGTTGTATCATCGCATTCCTAATGAAAAATGGCGGGGAAGCTTCGGGTGCGCTTGCGAAATCTCGAGATCTCCGTCACGGGATCATCTCCGAGAACAATAATTTTGTGAGAATCTGCAGTATCATTAAAGATGATATCATGCAGAAACTGGACCAGATTGGCCGGCGCGTTCGGAAGTTATGGCTATTTAAGTGTTTTCACTTCAAGGGGGTGTAACTCCCCCTAAAGTGATCCTACAGGGGTTCAATTGGGGTGTTTTTTTAATGCCGAAGGATGCTCTCTTTCTTGCCCTAATTAGAAATATAAATTTCCTTCCGGAACTACTAGATCTCGAATTTTTCAAAAAGTTCCAAAATGCACTTTTTCACTCCAACCCCTGCCATTCGGCCATTTTGTATCCGATCGGGATAAAACCTTTACCATTCGAACGGGAAGGAAATTTCCTAAAAAATATATCTTTGGTTTTTTTAAATCGGTCATAGTTTCGTAGAGATACACAAAAATTCAAGTGTTCCACTTCAATTGCGCGCTACTGTATGGCATGCTGGCGCACGTACACCACAAGGTGCGGTTCTATTTCTGTCTCTATTGCACATGATAATATTTTTTTTTGGAGATCGTCGTATAGTTGCCATCTTCCACTGATTCGCAGGCAATATGATACAACCTGGAGTATATGCGATAATTCCAACGAGCCTAGAAGCAATGCAGAACACATTAGGATACTTAATAAAATCAATAATACATACACATTATACACTATTTTCTAAGTCTCGTAAATAAAAATTATAATTGAAATGAAGAAGGTGTACAAATATTTCGTTATATGTTAATTCTGATAGTTTTGTATGAAATTAACGCACCTATACTCGTCATGACATTCGTTTACCGTTTGAAACTTTAGCGTTTTTGGAAGCTGTTGCAACTTACAATGCAACCCATGATTGAGGTTGACGTTGTTTCGCACATCTAATTCGATAAAAATATGAAAGCCGAGGTGATTATACTGTGTGTATTGTCCGATGCAGCGATTTTGGCAATTGATCTTGAAAATACAGGACCTGAATTCCAAGGCTTTTTCCAGAGAGCCATAATATTCTTTAGAAAGAGTCTTGTGATTTACGCGACACTGATATCTAAAAAAAACTATTGACTATCAAACGTTTTTAGAAGACTTTCAAACACTATCGAACGACTATCAAACGATTAGAATAAAAAAAAGTTTAAAAAATAAAAGTTGGACGGCCAACTTCACGCAGGTGGTGTTCACAATGGTTAAAGCCTGAATTTTGGTTTTAGTTTGCGGTTTTGGGTTTTTCATTCGATATTTTTTGTTTACGGTTTTCAGTTTTCGAATTTAATAGATTTCGGTTTCGGTCTTAAAGAGAGATAGTTTTTGGTAACGATTTTTTATTTTCTGTTTTTCCTTATTAATTTTCAGTTTCTTTTTTTCAGGTTGTTTCTACCTAAACATAGGAACACATGGAGTCACAAATATCATGCGTAATATATCTATATATACTCGACTAATCAAGAACGTGGGTAAAGTTCAACGGGCCTCCGCTCAGATGGCGCGTCGGCACTAAAATATATTGGTTTCAAGAAAATCGGCCCACTGGTAATCTCTCTACTCATCTCTGCTATTATTAATGAAATACGTTCCAGTTAACAGTTTCGGTTTCGGTTCTTTATTTTTCCGGTTATTATCAGTTATTCATTTTGGTTTCAATTACGGTTACGGTCCCTGATCGTAAACCTTAATCACCGCCTTAAATCCAACAGCAATATACCGACAGTGGATACCAACGACCATCAAATATTTGCCACGTTTAAATTCCCAATTATCATCAACATAAAACCCCACAAGGAGCTTCTGGCATTCACTGCGTCATCTACAAGGAAGGCGCATTTCATGTAGAAACTTGGCGTGGCGCAAAAGCCCTCACTGTATAAAAAAAAGAAAACTAGTACTACTATACCCGAGAAGATCAATCGTGCATCGTCAGTGCTTCGCGAGTGTCCGTGCGCGAATACAGGGATTATCGCTTGTTATTACAGTGGAAATCGTCTATGATAATAATTCAATTAGTACAAAGATTCTCGATACCTCATCATTAAGTTTCTGAGATTGACTGTTAAAGCCCTTGACCATGATCACCCAGTGCGTTTCCTCACTTAAGCTATCATCAAGTAACCGGCCCCAGGAATGTCGCAGTATCCCGCTGCAGTGTTCCGTCTCTGTGATAGGATAAATTATTGGAAATTCGAATACACCATTTGGATCCTTATACCTTCCTGATATCCTGGATCAAGGTACACTTGAAACTTCATGCAAAAAAAATCGTTAGAGAGTTTTGAGTCTTCGGTCCTCTAATGATTATCTTGTTTTCTCTTTTTCTTTTTCTCGTTTCTGGTCTACTATCTCTGTTCCATCGATGACGAGTATGTTTTATGTTAACATGCGTGACGTAAATGGATGGATGCGCAACGTTGCAGACTCTTCTCTTTTTTTATTTTAATTCTTTCAATTAATGCAACTTTTATTTCCACATTTTTTCTTATTGCTAGATTTATTCGCGCTTTTTCTTGTATTATTCTTTACTCGTGCTAATCAAACTGTGATTTTTGTAATCTTTGTTAGTACATATTTTTTGGAAATTAAGACTACTAATGGAATGATGCATTACATTTTCTTTTTAAAGGTTCGTAAGTCATTCCAAAAAGAAGTGCCATTTACTAATTGCCTCTCTCTCGAGAGTACCATAAGCGACACTGCTGCTGAACATACAGTGGAGTTTTATTTTCGGTATGGATGTTCGCCATGCTCATCTACCGTATCGATCCGTCTTAATTGATTGGTGAACGTCTATTGACACTGGGTGTGGATAGGATTTGTTGGAGGATCACGCAATTCTTTTTGGTGAGTTGATTTTTTTTAGGGTGTGTTTTTCGCTTTAGTTTCTCCTCTATATCATTTATTTCCTTTTATTTTCGGGGTGATCGGACTTATGCAAATTTTGACAGTGTGAACTTTTTCATAACGTGATTAATATTTGGTATCTTTATGGGTGTTATACTTTTTGTGTTTACTTAAAGTATTTTATTGCATGATTTGTTATATTCTTTTATTTTATTTGTTTTTTAACTCTGATTTGTTTTCTACGCTAATGCTCTTCTTGTTATATTTTACTTAGGCTTTTAGATGAAAAATGTATGTGCGATTTACTTTAGTTTGCTTTGTAACACCTACTTGTACAGTGTCGCAACAAAATTCTGGCTCCAGCAGTGGAATAGTACATGGAGATTTGTTGAGTTGTGCAAGTACATTAAGAAAGGAGCTGAGAAGAGAGATTGCGGTAGTAAAACTCTCTTAACTGTTTTTGAAAGCATAGAGCATATTCTACATAAAATAAGTCAGCATGCATCATTTGAAATTAATTGTATCACGAATCCTATTTACAAAATATAATTACAGGCACTTGGTAATAAATAAATATTTGGTAATACATAAGATTATATTTTACTGATTATAACAGTATAAGCTTGCATGAGTATATCAATTCACTCTGTTATTAAAAAAAAACTTTTTCTCAAACAAAACAATATTTTCAACATATATAATAACTATTATTATTTTTCAGGAACAAGTATGAGCTCTCAACCAATCATGGTTCCTGGTGGAGACCGTCGTTCTCAGTCAGAATCTCATTCGGTATCAGTTGGCAATGCAACAGAGTCATTTAAAACCATGACACCACCAAATGTCAGCAGGTCACTGAGTAGTCGTAAGTACTCAATAATATCTTTGTAAATCTCTCTATACCAGTATTTTAACATGAATCCAAATGTCACTTAGCTATGATAAAGACGTAAAATAGGAGATAACATTAAAGGAAATTAAGTAGCGTAATAAAATTTTGTCTCTTACAAAAGATTAGTCTTACCATACATGTAAAACCCATAACACCAAGAAGATATTGATAAACAGGGTCACAAACCTCATATGTTCTGGGTCTGACACAAACTATATGGCATTTTAAACCCTTCCAGAACTTATATGCTGATTCCATCATATCGCTAATGCTCACTGTGCTCAATAGCTGTCAAACACAAAGTCCCACAAAGCTTTGTGATCATTGTGACTTTTTGCTTTACTACTATCTCCTTGATGTGTAATATCATACATGTGTATATACTTAATCTGTTTATCACTATGATCTGTTTGTACGTGAACTATAATGCTAGATAGACTTAAAACTAATGTGTATAAAACGTTTTGTGTACGTATTCTGTATTTTTTTCATTCTTTTTTTTTTCTTACCTGTATTACACGAATGGCGCATCTAATGACATAAATACCTATTAACGAAAACATATATATTCTATAGCAAAAACAATGGTAGCAAGCTGTTATGACATTGCGAAACAGTTCTTTCCTAGCAATCCACGAGACAGTAATGAGATTGCGAGCACGAGGAAAAATGGGATAAAAACTGAACACGCGTATCCTGTAGATAATTTAACTATTTGACTGATACGTGCGCAATAGCACATCACAAGTGTGTTCTGGCCCATATTGTCAGCTCGGCTCTCTTGCGTCAAATCATTCCCTATTACGCATCAATCGCGCACCCGCTTGCCAATTTGGGCCAGGACACACTTGAACGTGCTATTGCACACGTGCCAGTTAAGTGGTTATTAATTATCCTCTACTTTGTATATCCTCATGGATGCTTTTTATCGTTCCTATTAATAGCTTCTGACATACTCTACACTTAAATGATAGTCCGACTTTTCTTACTGAATGAGTAAGCTAATTTTATTTTTTTTGTTAAATACGAATTCGTCTCTTCAAGGTTTTCATATATTTCCTTAACTCCGTAGGTCCCATAAACGATGCGACGTGGCTTTTATTGTTCTTAACGCCTTATGCCTAGACACTGATAACAACGTAAAGTCCAGTATAACATGTGCTAACTTATTAACAAACCTACCGATATATTTTTATGCTGAATAAAACTTTAAGATGGCAAAAACACAGCACGACGAAACGTCCATTACAAAATCAGTCTGGCCAGTTGTACTGCCAAGAATTTCATTTGTCTAACACCGCATACTAGTACGCAGAGTCATGCTGCATTAAGAATTGTGCCTCGAGGAGTATTCTAATACATAAACCCATATGCATATAATGCCTAGGCATTTATAGGAGTATCGGGACGTTAGTAGAAAGCTTCCAAAATAGTCTCAAACGAACAGCCGAGTAAGTGCGCAGTTTAATGTAAAAGTTACATCATCAGTCTTTGTATTATTTATAAAATTAGGTCGGGCTACATTTTTTGTTTCATTTTTTTCTATTTATACCGTATTTATTGAACCGCGTATATCATTTTACCGGCGTGAGAAAGCAAATAGAGAAAAAATATGTTGATATACCGCTCATCCATATTCTAATTTGCCAGTAACCCACTTGACGATTCCACGCTTTCCGGCATGATATTTGCACCTTGAGTCGTGTTCGTCTTCGACCTTACTGCTTTCCAATATTCGTTTGCGAATGTATACTTCGACCTGGTGTAAAGGTAAGGTCGCTATACTATAGAAGAGACGGATAAAGTAATTCACTTATTAATATAGATCAACCCAGGGTTTGCTCGGCGAGGCTTGGCTGTCAGTGGTAAAGATGGAAATCGATATGTGCTATCCTAGTTCGCCTACTACGCTAGTTCCTCGTGATAAGCCAACCCATTTGTACCTGCTGAAAGGAGGTTCTTTCCTTTTTTTTTTACTTTTATACATAAACAATCTTTTCTCCCTCGTCCAACGTCGTCGTGGACAAATAGAGCACCCGGGCTTCAATGAACACCGTGTACTTGAACATCTCTCGTATAAAATTCAAATTTTTATTAATTATCTTTCTCTCTCACTCAGTAAAAAAAAAAACTGAAATTATGCATATCCAAAAACTTTATGCTTCAGCTAGTCTAATTTACGTTAGCTATCTGTGAAATTTATTTTTACTTATTTGTTCTCCTATTATGCTTTCTTAGAACTATTATACATTAATCGTGCATGATCCACGGGCATCCTAATGCTGAAATAACCAACTTTGACTTAATCAGACATCAATGCCTAAAAATCTACGTAAAAGACATGACGACAAGTTAAAGATGGGCAAATGGATAAGATCCATAGCTGGTGTCAAACGAGGTAAGCAATACGTCGTCGTCGTCATCGTCGTCTAGCTAAATTTATTTTAATAACCTTTGTTTTGGCTGTACATTTTTTTTCTTCTAATATTTAATTAAGAATCGATACTCAAAATCGATCAACTAACCAGTTACCGTTGCAACACGCGGTGACACCGGAGAGTACAGTAATACACACAAAATTTGAAATTTCTCCTAATCCGGATATGTAACATCTTTTAATAAACGTGCAGCAGCAGCAGACGACCGACGACCTCGCCGTGGCAGTGTTCAGGTCCAAGCGGTGCCTTTGCCGAAGCTACCATCCTCTGAATCGCTCACGACGTGCACGAACGTCGTGAGCGGCACCGCCGCACCGCCGTCACCAGGTAAAATATTGTAAATGAATATTTGTATATTAAGGAAGGTCAATACTACTAATTACACAAAGCAGCTTTTAGGGAAGAAAAATTGTTTCTACCGAGCACCATTTTCTATTTTTTTTACTGCCTATGCCTGATATACTTTATAAGAATTAAGCATCGTACGAATGGCTTCTTAGGCACACGTGCGAATCTCCTTACTCATCGCATTCATTGATAATTCAAATGACGGTCGGTGGTACGAGCGTCGTTTATTAATAATAGTCTGAGTCAAAGACTGTGAATGGTGAAAAATTTATTAATTTTTTTCTTTTTTTTCTTTCTTTTACTAGATTCAATTCTATATGAAAATTACGAAAGGAGCACCAGTAGAATTCGTCAGGAAATACTCGTTGATTACTGGTGAATGTCAATTTGTGTCAATTACGTAAACTGTCATGATGTAGAATATCATTGTCCATTTACTGTATTATTGTTATTTGAGCAGTCCAATTGGAATATGATATTCATGCTAATACCTTAAATATGGAAAATAGTATTACATTTAATATATTACTGTAATGTCATATCATTGAATATGACGGAGAGTATATTATTTTATTGACACAGAACATACATGGACTACCATGACTTTTATTATTATCTGCGTTAATTATACGATTATGAAACATAAATGTAATGCTAATACGTACATGTTATGACATTAGTGACCCATGGCCTTCGGCATTGAGTCTACGATCAAGAATGGTTATTTATTTATCCGCACTACAGTCCTGATATTTGCATTGTCGGAAAACGATGTTGTCAGTCATTTAATGTTAAAAGCTTAATAATCATTTGCTCTACAGTGATGTGTTTTGAGAGAAAGTATAGAAAGATTGTATTGTTTTTAATTAATCAAGTCGATCTCACTGTACTTGTTTGAATCGTTAATAATAATGAACGCTTCGATCGAGTGTTACACGTGCTATGGGTGTTCAATTTCTGAGATGTTAAGAATTTGATCGAGAAGTTAAACGTGGACAATTATGATAAGGGCTAGCTTAGTGATTAGATAACATACTATCTATATCAATGTGTATAAAAATAAAGGCAGTCTCGTCATTGAATTGTATCGAATAATTGGAAATATTCTCCACGTTTCATTTTTATGCCGTTGAGAGTATCGATTACGTAGATCTTTCAAGTTGTCTTAACGTTTGTTTCTTTTTTTTGTATTATCTTTATTTAATACTATTGTTTTCTTCTATACTGTTACCAATAACATCCGTAGATCGACCGATTAATAATGAAGTTGCGCTCACGAGTCGGAAGAATATTTCACAGCGAGCCCAATTTGGCTCAGGGGCATAAGACACTGTGTAAGCTACGTCATAGAAAAAAATTTCTAATAGATTTATTTTCATTATTGATGTTTTTTTTCATTATTCGACTCAAGTCTAACCAGTGAAAGCGATTAGGAGTAAAGAGGGTATTCCTATTTTACCGGAAGTGTTTAAAGTACCATTTGTTGAAGAAATCTGGCGTAATTTAATTTCTTAATTAATGTACTATAGACGCGAAGCTATAGTATCCAGAAGATTTATAGGTTTCGTCACATGGTCATTCATCGATTAAATGACTTAGCCATTATAATTGTAGCATTAATAAAAGAGACAAAAAGCACAGAGAAAATAACGCGATTAACCCAATGTTATATTTGTGTGTGGTACTTTTATAATGTCTTCTTGTAACATTTGATGATGTTTTCTTTTAACTGTTTTAGGTTTGTCTACCATGGGTGAGAGTAGCCTCAAGGTACAAGACAATTCTTCGGACAAGGTAGGTAGTTATAACGTGACGGATGAAGGGAAAAAGAAAATATAATGATTGCTTATCAATAACATTTTTTTTAATGCATCTGACTTGCGTTACAGTCCGTGGACACTTACAAGCTCACACGCAAGGAATCCTACAAGGCTCAGAGAAAGAATTACCGCATGGAGAAAAAAAGAGTTGCCAATGAGCTATTGAGCTCGCTCAAAGATCCCACGGTGGTTGTGATGAGCGATTGGCTCAAAGTCCGTGGTACGCTCAAGAGCTGGACAAAACTGTGGTGCATACTGAAGCCTGGTTTACTATTGCTATACAAGAGTCCTAAGATCAAGGTACACAAGTAATAGATTGTCAGGTGCGTTTCCATTTCATGTATTTTTCTGATCGATTAATTATAGAGCAATCATTGGGTCGGTACAATACTGTTGAACACCTGCCAAGTGATTGAGCGACCAAGCAAGAAGGATGGTTTCTGCTTCAAGTTGTTTCATCCTCTGGAGCAATCGATATGGGCGCCTCGTGGACCGGAAAAGGAAGCTATCGGTAAGTCAATGTCGATGGAAAATAATGCAACGATTATTTAAATTGTTACGGCTATCAGTGACCCATTATTCAATTGTTTAATTAACATTCACTCGTCATACCATGCACTAATCAGTTAAAAAAGTACCTATGCTCCAGGAGCCGTTGTCCAGCCGCTGCCGACTTCTTATCTCATCTTCAGGGCGCCCTCTCAGGCTGCTGGCAAGTGCTGGTTAGACGCTCTTGAGTTGTCACTACGTTGCTCATCGCTCATTGTGCGATCGGCCAGTGCGATTCCGAGATCACCTCAACACGACGCTACTACGACACATGAGACACAGTGGAGCGAAGCGGATTATGAGAAGCATTTTGATGACCATGGTAAGTTTTGTAAAAATTAGGTTTATTTGAAATCAAGTACTTGTCTTTCAATATCGCAAAATAGAACGAATGGTACAGAAACATTTTACTGGACTATACTAATTTAGATTTGACAGCTGTCAAAGGCTCAATGATTTTGTAACATAAAAAAAAATGCTGGGAACGAACAAAATAATTGAATGAAAAGTACAATGACTAGGTTATCCCCGCACTTCACAGTGATGCCAACATTATTGGTTGAGTTAGCTGATTGACAAATGTCATGTAACTGAGTGTAGGGATACTCTGTTAAAGATTCAGTTGCAGGTTAACGTATTTTGTTCTTTTTGTATGTCAAATTTTTTGCGATACATACGTGTTCGCGCTTTGTACGAATTGTGTTGTTCGAACGGAAGGATGGTTGACACTCGTATTGTTTCATCATGACGGATGACATAACGAAAGTAAATAAATTAACGTGGCTGTATCTATTCGTTGCTGCTCGCCATTAAAATTGGCACCGGCTGTACCGGACACAACTAACAATTTAGAATCCTTGCAATCGTCTTCCGTATTCCTAAAGCGTTATGCACCGCGTTCACCGTCCACTCCGCAGCGTCGCTTGCTTTCCTGTCCCCAGCCTCTAGGTACCGGCGTCGTCGTCATCCGCGATCCTAAAAACCTCTGCCCGTCGCCGACGCCAATGTTCCAACAGCTTTATCACGCCGTCGCCTACTGGGAGAAACAACTTCTTAATGCCAGGTCACCGACACCCGTCACTGATCCTGAAACCGTCGTTTCAACGATCTCTGCCGAGTGCTCGGATACCGGAAATGACCTCCCAGAGTCTGTTGGCTCATCACTTACTTCCTCTTGTCGTTCTTCGGCAGCGCAAGCGTCGGCTGGTGCACTGCTTTCCTTATCCCCTGCTAGACGCATGACCGTTCCTTCTGTCCATGTCCTAGAGTACGAAACCCATCACATAGTAACGCTAGATCCTGTATACACCTCGAACACAGACCTGGACGACATCAGCCAGCCGGAGAACGGAGTCGTCGCTGATGCTGAGATCAGTGCGTCTGACAGCGAATCCGAAGTCTCCGCCAAGGAGGATGAACCTGAGCAAATCAATGAGACGCCTTACGTGGCCAATGAAAACGAAGTTCTTGGTTCGGTGGGTAGATGGAGTCTTAATTAGTTAACTCTCTTAATTGAAATATCATTTTGGTTTTATTCAATGATACTTTACTCATATAGGCAGGAGAGGTCGTGGCGGAACTTCAAGAGGAGCAAAAATCCCTGATCTGGTTTCTAGTGAAACAAGTGCGTCCTGGTATGGACCTTTCGAAGGTGGTTTTACCTACTTTTATATTGGAACCACGATCTTTCCTGGAGAAGCTTGCGGATTCGTATTATCATGCTGATCTACTGTCCCAGTACGTTTTCTCCGGTCGAACTATAAATATATATTATTTTGAGTTTTCGCTCTTTGGAGTTTCTCTAGTATATTTTCGAAACAGGGCTGTAATCGAGGACGATGCGTTTACTCGTATGAAGGGCGTCGTTAAGTGGTATCTTTCTGGTTTCTACAAAAAACCTCAGGGTCTGAAAAAACCTTACAATCCATTACTGGGTGAAACGTATCGCTGCTATTGGCAACATCCCAATGGATCACGCACATTTTACTTAGCCGAACAGGTGATTTAAATTCCAAATGTTTTTATCTCTTTAATGATTGAAAATTACTCCATTATGATTATGATAAAATGATTCGATAAGTCCCTTGTAACGATGTTCATGAACATTTTACAGTTGTCGCATCATCCACCAATTTCCGGATTTTATGTGACCAATCGACAAGATGGATTTACAATCAGTGCCACCATAATCGCCAAATCGAAATTCTATGGTAAGTTGTAAGCGTCAAAGAAGTATATCAACTGTACGTATAACTGTGTCATTATTTATATATAGGAAATTCAACTTCGGCGGTTCTTGATGGTGTAGCTGTTCTGACTATGCTTCCTAGAGGCGAGGACTATACAATGACTATACCATATGCTCATTGTAAAGGAATCCTCATGGGAACCCTCTCTATGGAATTAGGTGGCAAGATAAATATAACTTGTGAAAAAACCGGATATCAGACCGAGCTCGAATTCAAGCTGAAGGTATTCATAATATATGAATTCTCATGTGTCTTATAGATGATTGATAACACGTATTTATTATTGATTTCAGCCATTTTTAGGTGGTTCAGAACAGATGAATCAAGTAGTAGGCAGAATACGACTTGGAAAAGAGACATTAGCTACTATATCAGGCTATTGGGATGGTCAGATAATGATAACTGATAAGCGAACAGGGGTGGGTATTGATCAAGATAAATTAATAAGATACAATAATCTAGCGTGTCAGATTCATATAACACTTACAAATCCATGCAGCAAGAGAGTGTTTTCTTCAATCCAATACCTGAAGTGCGCAGAAAGCGGCTAAAGAAGTACACAGTACCTCTTGAACATCAAGGTGCATGGGAGAGTGAAAAGCTCTGGCACTCTGTGACTCTGGCTATAAACAATGACGATCAGATTGCTGCAACAGAGGCGAAAACGCAACTAGAGGAGGCACAACGGGATCGTGCCAAGGAACGTAAGAATTCTGGTCAAGAATGGATACCCAAGCACTTTATCCAGGTTGGTACCAGCTTTTGTATATCATTTTGGCCGTTGTTACAATCAATTACATTTCTTTTTTAATTACAGGATATCATCACCGGGAACTGGATGTACAAGCATGCTGATATAAGACCCTGGGATCCACGCAATGACGTTGTGCAGTACGAGCATGATTATGTGGTGCGCACCAAGACACGACATAAGACACCTATCATGAGAACAGGAAGTATCGTCTCAACGGAGCCGCAATCACAGGTACCGGAATTACGAAAAAAGATTCTCAAAAGGCATTGTTAGATAAAAATGACAAAGAAAGATAACCCACGTCCCTTAAGAATTCCTCGAGCACTGGAAGTTCTGTATTGGCTGTATTATACTCCTGTTATGATTTGCTTGAACCGATTGTAAATAATGTTTGCATTTTCCGCAATAAACGGCACAACCATTAAAAATATCTTCCGACTGCTTTACGGGGTTTAAATTATATAAATACTACTCGATGGAGCATTTTATAGTATCATTATTATCATTACATTTTTCTCTTAGTCTTATCCATATCTCATTAAAGTTGTTTTCAAGTATCAGGAAGCAACAAGAACGAGAAAATGTTGAAATCCTCGTAGAGAAGTACCCCTTATTTTCGCTAGCTTCTTCTATAAAAACGAAGTTTTTAATTTGATGATGACAATTAATGACTATAAAGATATGTTTCTTTCTAGCTGCCATTACTACAGGCTGAATCTCGCTCTTCTCTCTCGGTGCTGAAGTCCTCGAAAAGACAACTATCTAATACTTTACCATTAACGGAAACAGCCCATGACTCCGGAAGTTCCTCGGCGGAATTTCATTCAGATTCAAGTCAGTCCGTGGGCAAGCGAAGACGTTCGACTGCTCGGTAAGCTTTCATTTTATTTAATTAATATAGCAATCAAATTTAATACTTATTTATCAGTTAATCGATTCTAGGCTGCTGAATGTCGTAAAGGAGATGGAAGCTCACTTAGGGGAACACAATGAGAAGTTAACTCGAATTCAACGGTCCATCGAGCAGCTAGCATTGAGGCAACGTGGACAACGAGAACAGAATTACAACGTGGGTATGTCGAGGAACTTCATAGACACCATAGTCGTCATCCTGGTAGTCTTCGTCGTGCAATATATAATGAAATTTTGGAACGGTGTATCCTCAAATGGATCCAAAGCGACATGGTAAACATAATTCAAATGAATTCATCAATCTATTCAATGATATCACTCTACGTCTCTGCAGATCTTATCTGTTTCACTTTTTACTTTTATCGACAGATGAGTATCGTCTGTCATTTGATATCTACCGCCACTGGAACAAGCACCCACCAGATGCTGCCAGTATTTCCATTCCGGCATTGAATGAATTTGTCCTAGAGGATGGTGACGTTGTTTTGAAATCCTACGTGAAGACTTGTTAAGCTCGGATGAACGGGTAAAATAAGAAAATGAAAAGAAAGAAAGGGACGCGCGTGGCAATGTGAAGATGAAGGATGTTTTTAAAAGTGGAGAAGAGAAAATTGTATAATTGCTGAAAGCGGTGTAGAAATGAGGAGATAATCTGTTATAGTTTTTAGTACACGAAATTCAGATGGAATGTGCATCAAATCGTATTTCCGTACGTTATTACGTAGCGTAATACTTACCTATCCGTAGGCTAGCAAGTTTATCTGCACTGGTACAGCTTGAACATTTTTAATATACATAATATTGTACATATGTAAGACGAGATCCTATTTTGGAATCTCGCAACGAAAATACGAATTAGCAGTGCGATAAGTTTTCCTATTTTTCTTCTCTTGTTTGTACCATTTGTCTCCTCCTTTTTTCCGTGGCTGCTAGTATTACTGATCATCATACCTAAGGAATAGATTAGTGAAATATTGCTGATACAATAGATACACGTATCAAGATTAATTTTGTTCAATGAATTTTTGAGGGGAAAGATGAGGTAAAATCTGTCGACTGTACGAACTACAGTTTTGTTTTTCTTTGTGTAAAGGGGTTGTGACTAGTTATGGCATTTAATATTTAAATCAAATTATACCATAGAATATCAGAGAAAATTTCAGTCGTTATGAGAGACAGTTACTATATGAAAAATTATGGAATTTGCCTGTCGGGCGTGGCTGTAGAATTTATTAATGTCCATCGAGGAAACTGCATCACAGGAACGAAATCGTCTCTGTTCCATTAAGAATCTGCTGATTGATTCATCTTTCACGTAGTGTTGTTCGTACACTTAATTAACAGTTTTTACCGGAAATAATTTCTGGAGACGCGTATGTGTAATCATTTGAGTGCCAGTGAAGAAGTCGGTAACAGCGAGCTATACGCGTGTGATATAACCGAGCCTTAAGATACATAGAGAGAGAATGCGAAAAAGAGAGATTGAGATAGAGAATATTTAATAGTAATAATATCAATAACGTTACTATGAAATTCCTTTATTTCTATTCCTTTGGCGCTAGTAATGTTAAAATGAAACATCAAAAAAAAAGAAAATGTTGCCTTGTATCTTGCAATTTTTCAATCTTGTGTCATTGCTCCTTTTCTCTTTTCGCCTTGTACATTTTTGTACTATTTGTAAACCCATTCCACTCGAAAAACTCAGCAGTCGTCAAACATTCCAAAAGCTTTTGGAGACTATTTATTGTTCAGATTGTATTTGGTGCAAACCTTTATTGTGATAATGATGCAAATCGCAAGGTGAAGTATGTAATACAATTTGCATGCAGTATGTATGAACTTAAAATATATTATGTACAACAATGATAAAGACAAATGAACAATACTTAAACCACAAATTATTGTGAATTCGCTAAAATCCTTGTAAAATCGGTATAACGTTGTATAACATGTATAATGTACGAAAGTCGTACGCGTTCTCCTTTTTAGCATCTTCGTGAGCATCTCAGTTGTTGTTGTTTCTGCCTTCGCATTTTATGTAAACCATACCATATTTCTATCGTATAATAATAAAAAAAGGAAAAATATTTTTTGTTTCTCTTCTGTGCTATGATTTTGTACTATTCCATTTTTACTTTTCTCCAAATCTTTTGTATTGCGTTCTTTTCTTGAATCTTTTGTATTTATATTTTTTATTATTGTTAGTACTTATTTTTGTACAGTCCATTCTACTTGTTTCATTGGGAACACTTTATCCTGTTATCAAAGGATCACAACAAACAGTTTTCACAGTCTATTGTATTAACTGGATACAGATGTTTTACAAATTTCTTTATTGCTTTGTCATTAAATATTCAACCCACAATAATGTTGATTTGATTGATCGACTATGAGACATTGGTTGTTCATGCTGTCAACTTATTTATCGCAAATTCATTGATCGACATTGTGTATAATTCATATTCTATAAACTGACAGAATAAATGTTAATTAGATAAATGAAGTACTTGAAACAATTCGTAGGCAATAGAGATATAGTCAAATGTTCAAATATTAAAAAAAGAATACAAACTTGTTCGCTACATAACAGTATAAAATTGATTAAAAGCTACTGTAAATAATATTAAGTTAACGGAAAGGGAAAAGAAATATTTTCAGCCGAGTTATGACGTCAGTCTTTGAATACTCTCTTATTATTATTAATATTGTTACCTTATACAAGGGATATTCTACATTTTTATTTATCTTCAGCTGTTTACGCTGCATCATTTGTACAACTTCAAAAATTAAAGAGTAATAAGAAATATAGAGAGTAAACTCATTTGCGTTCAGAAGAGCTACCGTTAACGCAATAATGTAAAAACTAAAGTGTAGCTTTACTTATCTACGATTTCCGAACTCTTTGTTATTAATAAAAATTATTATTATGCAGTGTGATAAATTCTCCAATAGTGGACGAGAAATATATACAAGTTAGTGTCTATGCCGTTCTTGGACTCTGCTATGTACACATTAAGGAAAACTATTATTGCTATTGCACATAGTTACAGCAAGTCGTCATAAAATAAGAACAAACATTTTATGATGATTTGTGTACCACTGACATTTTAAATATAAATATCAGGCTTAGCCTTTATGCTCTTCTTGTTCCTGAAGTAGTCCTGCACGTGCTTACTAACATCGTTCTCCTCTGAAATATAAAAACAAAATGCGCAGCGAAGTTTTAGAACAAATTGAAGAATGATAGTGTTGTTAAGTGATAAAGAACAACAAGGCACAGTAGTTCTACCATGCTATGAGAAGAAATAAAAATTAACTAGAACAGAAACAACGTGCTGCTTGTCATACAACTGAAGAATTCTATTGTACGTTTTGCTGAGCTATAGAAAGTGGTGTATATAAGAGTAATTCTAATTGTGTACAATAGCAATAGCATGCTGCCAGATGTCACGTTAGGATTGAATAACAAGGCACAACAACAGATGATTTGGTGAAAGGGCTGACCGGGAAAAGTGTTCTCGATGATGAGCATATCAGCAATGAATTTGGCCACTTCTTTAAAGAGTGTCCGGTCGCTGATTCTCTTTTTCTTGTAAAACGGCATGAGATGCTTAACTACCCAGGGTGCGATTCTCTCCTTGCAGGCAGTCAAATGTTCCTCAATGCAGATAGGCGAGTCTGGCATCATATCCTCGTCATCGGATTCCCCAAAGAGCTCCAGAAACTTAGCCTTTATTCTACCGTGCTTACGGTAATTTGTTATAGAGATCTCTGTCATCCTTGTTTTTAATTTTGAAACCTGGTGGACCCTTTCCACGAACCATATTTTACTGATCTTACGCCTTTTCCTATCCTCAAGGGTCTCTTCTTGCGACAGCGGCGTCCCCTCTGTCGCTTGCTTTTTCATTCTTTTGTAATTGTTGAAGCTGAGCTTACGCTTGTTTGCATGCAATTCGGATGGTGCTCCGGTATTGTCCTTGTACGAATTTTTGGCGTTTGGTTTAGATTCTTTTGTTGATTCTGGACACATTTTACCTATCTCTAGGTCTATATTTGCTTTTGTGACTCCAGAATGTTTTTCAATAAGGGTCATCAAGTCACTGCTATCATCACTCTCACAGAACATGTCTTCCATGTGTTGGAGTAAAGAATCCTGGGAATCGTCATTTTCTTGCAATACTGTTTTAGTCGTGTTACCAATGCCAAAGATTTCATGAATATCGTTCTTTGTTTGAGAAGTCCCGGCTTCATCATCTAGGTTATCCATTTCGGACTTGACGGTCGCCAACTTTTGATCTTTCTCAAGCTCATTTGAACAGTCCTCAGACTTTAAATAGGCATTCAATGAAGGCTTTTTCATAGGACTTCTTCCTCCAGGATGCTCTTTTTCATTTAGGAGATCTGATACCCTCTGGTCTAGACTATCCTGCTCCAGATTGGCTTGTAATATTTTTGCAAGAGTATAATCATCAGAGTTTAAAAGCTCTGAACAATCCTGAAGATGTTTATTCTCTATTGTATCTGGAGTTTGAAATCTTTCCAATGTAAGCTCCTCTGTTTGTACTGCTATGCTGACCTTACTTGGAGGTGTACTTAGAAACGCTTCCAGCTTCTTGTGCACTTTCTTTCTGGAGGTATGCGCCTTTATATCTGAAATCTACACTAACAACCTATATGGTTATTGCTAAAACATAGCACCAGAGCATCTCTGATAATCAGCTCACCATTTTAAGCATTGCTTGCCTATATAAGGAAGCCTCCAAGGATGCACGTACTGCATTTAGTTCCATCTGTCCAGCACATGTTTTCAAATCGATCTGAGTGACATCCTTCTTATTGGGAGTACAGCAGACAACATAATTACTCAATAGAGACTTCTGCAGATAAGAGAAGTAAACACCACGCACCTATTGATTATATAACAATTAGCCACCAAATAATTGTGCCTATAAGCTATCAAGTGTCTACCAGATTAAAATTTAACAGTGAAGTAAAAAACGTGCCATGGTAGTAAGACGTAGGAACTCATCGTTGGGATCATCAGCCGCAATTAAATTCCTATCAGGAATTGCTGGCAATGGCATGGTAGAGACACTGCTAATATCGTCGTCGTCATCCTCGAGACTATTATCATTACATTCCTGTTTTAATACTAATGATAATGACATATCTATTGGTCTGGTAGTGGTCATAGTATCATTTGAAAGAAATACTTGACATTTGATGACAGATATTCTCATATAAAAAACTGTCAACCATGAACTGAATCAAAAAATGATTTACATTCTCGATTCAAGTGTATCACTCACGAAGCAGTCACGAATAATATCATAAAGTGTTTTATTCAATGCATTCAAACAATGTAATAAATCACTACAGCCGGTGATGGGTTATGTTATGTTATTATTTCTGGACAAGCAAACAAACAACAATGTGGATCTATCCACTATTATGAACTACGCGCTGACAACTTTCACACGTTTCATTCGCTCGCGAAAAGATGGCACCATGAGTCTTTTCCTAAAATTAAACTACTTATATTTATTTAAAATATAACAAGATTCTGAATTAATATTTCAATTTACAATAATGTTTTGCCCATATTTATATAATTGTTCTGTTTAGCACTACATCTCGCTACAAATTACTTATAAAAATACCGATTTATATCGAATTGAAAAGACGTCTTTATCTCTCGTAGCGCCTAGTAGGAAACGAAGCAAAGACGCCTATGCAACCATTGGCAAAGATTAGTCGAACCGGAAGGATCGCCATGCCGTGTTGGCCCAATCTGACAAAATTGGCACATCTTTTTCTACAATAATATCTAAATAGTTGATAATACATTGTGGTTTGTTAGATTGTGTACTAGTACGGTAATACAAATCCGCGAAGATGGTCTTGGCGGACTTAGGACGTAAAATTACGTCCGCTTTACGTTCTCTCAGCAATGCAACTGTCATCAATGAAGAGGTGAAAGTTTTGCTCACTTTGATGTAAACAGATGGCATAATTTATTATTGAATCATTAGTGCAAGCTCATTATGATTTAGATTTTCGATAAACACGATGGCACACGACTGTTATTTGTTCCTGTATAACATATCGTTAGATTTGTTAATACATGGAATTGTCGACATATTTTCTCTAGGTTCTAACCTTCGTTTCTTGCTCTAAAGGCCTTGAGACATTTTCTGTTTTTTAGTTAGTTAACTTTTACAGACATGATATTATTTAGAGACTCATAGTAAACCTTCCGCTTTTTCTATATGTTATATTTCAGTTCATATATCATTATTCTGTTTGCTTAATTTCATCATTATTATAGAATACTGATTGTACTGTTTCTCTCATAGGTGTTGAATTCTATGCTGAAAGAAATATGTGCGGCGTTACTTGAAGCTGATGTTAATATTAGATTAGTCAAAAAATTACGTGAAAATGTACGTACAGTCATTGATTTTGATGATATGGCTGGAGGCCTTAATAAAAGGCGAATGATACAGAGTGCAGTTTTTAAGGAACTTGTCAAAGTAAGTTATTTGTATGGAAACTACAATGGACTTTAATCAGACACAGCTATAATTCAACGAATAACGTTTTAATGAATAACGCCTTTGCAGTTGGTGGATCCTGGAGTAAAAGCTTACCAGCCGGTTAAAGGTAGACCAAACATAATTATGTTTGTAGGTCTACAAGGATCTGGTAAAACAACGACCTGTACTAAATTGGCATATCACTATCTCAAGAAAAATTGGAAATCATGCTTAGTTTGTGCTGATACTTTCCGTGCTGGTGCTTATGATCAAATTAAACAAAATGCCACTAAAGCTAGGATACCATTTTACGGAAGGTAATTTTTATATCTTTCATTAACTATATGTGGTAGAATCTAGATTAGTTATTGTCATTTTTATATTGAATCCATTAATTATTTTTCAGTTATACAGAAGTTGATCCTGTAGTAATAGCCCAGGAAGGTGTAGAAATGTTTAAAAAGGAGGGATATGAAATTATCATTGTGGATACTAGTGGGAGGCATAAACAAGAAGAGTCATTGTTCGAGGAGATGTTGCAAGTATCTAATGCTGTGGTAAGTATACTTACGGACAATAATTTTTCACCATAAAAGTTAAGTGTATGTTTCGTTAACAGTAGAATTTTTATCTGTGTCACATAAAAGGTGTTTTAATCTATTTGCAGCAACCAGACAATATAATCTTCGTAATGGATGCAACGATAGGTCAAGCCTGTGAAGCTCAAGCAAAAGCTTTCAAAGAACGTGTTAATGTCGGATCCGTTATAATAACGAAGTTGGACGGGCATGCTAAGGGTGGTGGAGCACTTTCTGCGTAAGCAATTAACAATCAAATATTCGTCATTTTACCATCACGAAAGTTTAATTTCGTTATATTAAAATAGCGTGGCAGCAACACAGAGTCCTGTGATTTTCGTGGGTACTGGAGAACATATAGATGACCTGGAACCGTTCAAGACAAAGCCGTTTATCAGTAAATTACTGGGAATGGGAGACATCGAAGGTCTTATCGATAAGGTCAATGAACTCAATTTAGATGACAACGAAGAATTACTTGAAAAAATTAAACATGGACAGTTCACTTTACGCGACATGTATGAACAATTTCAAAACATAATGAAAATGGGACCATTCTCACAGATTATGGTAAGTGTACTAATTAGATAAAAATTCTATTTACTTTCAAACACTGCAGGTATCAATACGTATTATCGCATCCATTTGATTACAGGGTATGATTCCTGGATTTAGTCAGGATTTTATGTCAAAAGGTACCGAACAAGAATCAATGGCCAGACTGAAGAAACTTATGACCATGATGGATAGTATGAACGACGGAGGTACATTATACCTAAAACAATTTATGAACAAAATTAATTCCGAAACTATTTTAACACTTCATTAATTTGTTCCCAGAGTTGGACAACCGAGATGGCGCTAAACTATTCAGTAAGCAACCCGGAAGAATCGTAAGGGTAGCTCGTGGCTCTGGAGTCACCGAGAAAGAAGTAAAAGACCTGATAGCTCAGTACACGAAATTTGCAGCTGTTGTAAAGAAAATGGGTGGCATCAAAGGATTATTCAGAGGTGGGGATTTGACAAAAAATGTTAACCCAACGCAAATGGCAAAACTAAACCAGCAGATGGCCAAGATGATGGATCCGCGTGTATTACATCAAATGGGTTAGTCTTATAATTCCCTTTGCATTATTTTCTCAATTTTTGTCTGTTCATTACAACCTTCTTTCATTTTCATCCAGGAGGCATGTCCGGCCTTCAAAATATGATGAAGCAGTTACAGCAGGGTGCTGCTGGTGGATTGGGTAACCTTATGGGTGGTTTTGGAGGCAAATCCTGAGACGAGGGTCCCGGCAGCGCAACCACTGCCGACAATCAAACTCATGCCCTACAAACTAGAAGACAACGTCGAAACTAAGTTATTGAGACTCCGTTAAATCGAATCGCTGCAAATTGTGGCGCCGCCAGTGTCATCTTACATTTTTTTAAACAAAGAAACGCGGGTCCACGTTATGTCCCTTCTCCTATATCCTGGTTTCTTTGTTTTGTTTCTCTCTACTGTACTACCGTTATTTTTTCATGCCATTCTACTATACAATTTCATAACAATTCGGTGTTCATTGATACATACACACACACACGCGCCCTTCTTTATATATATATATATATATAAAGAGGAACGGCCAAGTCACACGTAGGTAATGTTATAATTTCATTTATTATTCGCTGTATGCATAAAAGGTTTTTATTGTTAGAGAAAATAGCCTGTACGGTGCACGACTCGTGAAATTTTATCCGGGAATTTGGGACATTTCGATTTTTTCAATATCGTACGGCATCTCATGGTTTCGGGATACTAGAAAGTATTCGTAAGAAATCTCGATGTTTTTGTTGCCAGTTCATAGAAAGGAAGGAATTTGTCATTGTACTCGCTTGGAATGTCACTTCCAGTATGCGAGACGAAGAATCCTTTTTTTTTTTAAATCGAGTTCATAGCGATCCATTAGATGGGGGGGG